TTGGTCTCACGTGAACCCAACCCTATATATATATATATATATATATATATATATATATATATATATAAAGAACAATCAATAATAATAAGATGGATTCATATATTAAAAATAATATTGATTTTTATTAATTAAATATATAAATATGATTATCGACTCGTTTAACTATTTCAATAATTTAAAAAAGGATTATTGTAAACATGCGTTTCATGGTGTAAAACACTGGTTAATGATTCAAATTGGTCGACTCATGTGAATTTGCATGCATGGCATTCAAACTTACCATGCATCACACCTACCACTCTCTCTGCCAACACCAAACCTACCACCCCCAGACCTATATAAACCTTCGTCTCTTAACATATCCTTCAATCAATCCCTTCATTGCTAAAATGTCATCCCTACCCAAATCCAAAATCCCCAACCTCACAACCCTCGTCTCCATCATCGGCTCCGCCTCCGCCGCCGTGATGGTGACCCGTACCATCATTCACGAATACTGTCCTCCTGAATTACAAGATTACCTTTATCTCGGTCTCCGCAATTTCTTCAACAAATTCTCCACACACCTCACATTCATATTCTACGAATTCGATAAGTTTCAGGACAACCAAGTCTACAGCGCCGCTGAACACTACCTTTCCGCTAGAATGTCTCCGGCGACCCACCGTCTGAAGGTTACCAAAACTCCTAACCAGAAACACATCGTCATCGGCACCGAAATTAACGAGGAATTCACCGATAATTACAAAGGAGTGAAATTCTACTGGTCTACGGTTTCTAAGAAGACGCCGACTAGAGAATATTACAGTGACGATGACGTCACCCATTCTTCCCGATCCGATCTCCGATCTATGGAGCTCACCTTCCATCGGAAACACAGAGATCTGGCCTTAAACGACTACTTGCCATTTATAGTCCAGGTCGCGGAAAAGAAGAAACGAGAACAGCAAACCGTCAAGCTCTTCACTGTCAATTCAAATGGGTTGTACTCGAGGGAGGGGACATGGAAATCTGTTAATCTTGACCACCCGTCGAACTTTGCTACGTTGGCCATTGATTCAGATATGAAGGAGATGGTGATGAAGGATTTAGATAGGTTTAAGCAGAGGAGAGAGTATTATCGGAAAGTCGGAAAGGCGTGGAAGAGAGGGTACCTGTTGTACGGGCCCCCGGGGACCGGGAAATCTAGTTTGATCGCTGCCATTTCGAATTACTTGAAGTTTGACATATATGACTTGCAGTTGACTGACATTAAATCAAACTCGGAGCTTCGGACACTGTTGATGGCAACGGCTAACCGGTCAATACTGGTGGTCGAGGACATTGATTGTTCGGCGACGCTGCATGACCGGGTGGCCGTAGAGGCCGCAAAAGCCGCCCGTAGAAGGTCATCGTATTACTCCAAAGAGAATGAGGTTCGTGAAAAAGGAAATGCTATTACTCTTTCTTTTTAAAATAACCTTAAATATTTCTATTTATGTTACTCCTAAAGTTAATGTGCAATTTAAAAAACATACAACTAAATTTTGATATATTCTAGATAAGGCAAAAATATTAAGGGCTGTAGTTAGAGAAATTAAATAAGGTTAAAATTATCATTTTATTAATTAAATAGTATAATAATTATAGATGTTTAAAATTATATGTTAAAATAATGGTAGAAATTATTTTAAAAAGCGATATATCCAAAATATGTTATTTACGTTTTTAATAAATACCCGAATAGTACTCGTGCAATGCAGCGAGATAAATCTCAATTTTAATGTTTAGTTTTTATTATTTGTCTATATCGATATAATGCGATTTTATGTGGTTTTGAGAAAACAATAATGTTTTTAGTTTTGAATGAAATATAAATTTGAAGATAGCATAAAAATTTAAAAAAAATCGGTATTAGTATTACATTAACTATTTAGTAGTTCTCTTTTTTTGTTATAACTTCTTTAGTTCAATTTTTTATTATAACTTCATTTAAATTTAATAATAAAGTAATTTAGTTTTGGTTTAACAACAGAATTTTTATAAATATAATAATTAAACATTTTGTTAGAACCCAATGATTATCTTAATTATATTTTAGATATTCTATATTTAAAATGAATGTTTATTCTGTATTTTATTATGTCTACCTGCAGTTAGTTAGACGAATTTAAAGATAAAGCTTTAATAAGTTGTACATATGCAAAATTACTTGTAATCTTGAATTTTTAAGTAATATGCATCAATAAACAGTACTTCATATACAATAAGTGGTTTTTATGAGTTTTTGTTAAATGTTTTATAATATAGTATAGACATATTTTTTTATGTACTATATTATACATTAATATTATTTTTAAGTAATATATAATCTATTAAATTTCAAACATATAAATAATGATTAGTTAAATATAGGTTTTAAAAAAAAATTAATCTCTATAAAACTAATTGAGTGATGATGAAGTGATTCTTAATTCTATTTGAATTCATAACGAATTTAATACCAACTGTTTTGACCAGGTAACCTTGTCTGGTTTTCTTAATTTTATTGATGGATTATGGTCAAGTTGTGGTGACGAACGAATTATCATATTCACCACAAACCATAAGGACAAACTCGACCCTGCACTTATCCGTCCCGGTCGCATGGATGTTCATATTCATTTATCGTATTGCACCCCATGCGCATTTCGTGTTCTCGTCAACAACTATTTTGGCATCAATGAGCACAATCTTTTTCAACAAATTGAAGATTTGATGATGGAGATAGACGTTACACCCGCTGAAATTGCAGAACAATTGCTCAAAGATGACAACCCAGACATCATGCTTAATGGTCTCATCGAGTTTTTTGATGTGAAGAGGATGGAGAATGAAGAGGCAGAGGGCATGGCGAAGATGATGGAAGATGAGGAACTAGCTGCTACAGAGAATGAAATGACAGAAGAATATGATAGCAATTAAACTGCCGTATTAATAAGCTAGTAATTTGCGTATGTTTTATTTCAATAAAAATAAACGTGACTTTGTAAGCACGACCCGTATGTAATATGTCATGATTCAATTAATGTAATGTTTTGAACATAAGTTCAATACTTTTATTTCATGATGCTATAATTTCAAGTACAATACATTTTTATAACTTTTGTAATTTCATTTCAATATTTAAATTATATGATAAAATTATGATACAATATACTTTTCATCGCGTATAATTATAATCACCATTAACAAAATACAATACTAATAATTAAAAATATATAAATAATTTTGCTAAAATAAAATAGACGTCGATATCGGATTGCGACTGTAGTGAGAAACGACAAAAGGGCTTACGAGGCAATCCACTATTACAAATCAACATTTTCTTCGATAGATATTTAAAACCCATATAAGACTTTTTGGACCATAAATTCCAGTCAAAGTCAAACTTCAAACTGCTATTACAAGATATTTTTAGAATGTTAAAATTAGAAGTTGTACGGTGGTAGCTTAATGGATTACATTAGTCATATGACTTATTCATAAAGCTATATATCTAGTTGTTCGGTATGAGTTTATTCGGTCAGTCTATGACTAAATTACTCGTCTAAAAAACATTAGTCCTTTGACCTCAGCCATAATAATTCCTCATCTACCCATGTACTAAAAATCTACCTTCACATTTAAAACACAAGCTACCCAAGATAAAAACCCTATTTTCAAAATCACTCTCACGAACAACTCTTTCTATACAAATTTAGTGTTCCTATTGTTGGTGCTTCTCTCATCGTCGGTCAGACTTTCTTCTCCCAACAAATCGATCACTCACTAGATCAAAGAAATCGAGATCAATTGATTCCTCCTTGAATCAAAGAAATCTCGTTGCATCCTTGAAACACCCTCTCAAATCAACCCTCTTCATATTTGTAATCGAGCTGCTCCTTCTCTGAAATCGATTTGGTCCTCTGAGATCGATCTGCTCCTTTCATTCATGGTGGCTACGTTTGAACTTCGCCTGGCAAGGGTTGATGCTAGTAATTTCAGTCTCAAACTGGTTTTTATCTTGAATGAATCTTGGGTTTTCCTCAACAATTTTTCTTTACTAATCGTATTGTGATAGGGATGAACAAGAATAGGGATGAACAAGAAGATGACCACAATCCGAAAGTATGAGTTTAATGGGGGGGAAACAATTGTAACAACAGGAAAACAACGAATAATCAAACATATTCAAGACAGTTTTTATCATTCAAAGTCATATATTCAACATTTTAGGCAAGTGGTTATTTTATTCCAGACAAAAGTATACATTGAAGAGTAAATAGTCATTTTTGACATTTAGACTGTTTATTCAGCACAAAAACCGAACAACAATTTATCTGTTATCATACAGACAACTTTATTAATACATACATGTCTTAGTGGATAATGAATCAAACAGCCCCGCATATAGCATAGCCAAAGTATTACTAAAAGTTAGTATTACTGAAATGTTTAATATATTTGATAAAATATTATTATTTTCTATTAAACATTTAATTTCACTTATTTTAAATATGTCCTAAATTTGAGAAGTGTTCTATAAAATAGCTAATATGACGTTTTATTTAAAAAAATGTTTTGAATATTTTGTTAAAACACCTAAATTTGTTCTATAAACCTACTACTGCACTTTTAAAGAGATAGTTTTATCGTTTGGTTCATATAAACTTAAGATATATAAAGAGATCGATTAGGACACCCGACAAGCCTCTAAACTTGTCCCTTGCCCTTATCTACTTCTGTATTTCTTTTCCATGAGATGCATATTATTGGCAACTCAATGAGTTTACGTTTCATGAATGAAATCGTATCATATCATGCAAATTAAACATGCAAGTTTCGTTATAATTACTATGCAAACCTTAAACAAAACATGTATGGCTGAAAATAAATGATATCTCTTGACGAGTATGGGTTGTCCCGTCACCTTGACATTCCCTTTGTCGATCGATTTACACGTCCGATTGCCCATTACTAGGTCGTGTCACTCTTATGACTTACCATTTCGAATCCATCCCTAATAATTGACCATAAGATTGTCTCCAATAAAAGCATGCAATTATAGTTTTAAAAACCGTAAGACACAATATGTCATCTTTCATAAACGCCACATACATATAAAAATGCACCGTAACATGTATATAAAATTAATTCACCATGCATACGTATAAAATAATCATTACATGTCAAAAATAAATTTGGTACATAGATATGCATCTTCTTGTAATTCTCATGAACGCTTGGCTGACAGCATAGGTTACTTAGTGATAGGTTCCGACTGATAACCTATAATCCATAATCGTAATATTTAATTAAACGACCATGTTTCTCCAAAAAGTCAACGTATGCTAAACTATGGTCAACCTCAAATTGCGAAATTAAATAATAACCCAAAGTGTTAAATTTAGTATCTTTATAATTGGGTATTCTCATATTGTCATTTTAAAGCGTCTTAAACAGTTAATTATATTAACTATGATGCTTTATTAAATAACTTAATACACTTGAATAATTTAATGATACAACCTTTAAACTATAGAAAATTTGATGCTGCATAAAAACCCCAATAAATTTAATTGAATGAAATTCCTAAAATAAATAAATATATTAAATAATTAGACATGTTATTTATTTAGAAATCATTTTTAATTAAAATTAATGTTTTGGTCCATAAATTTAAACCCAAAATCTTCTCTTTATTGAACCCAAAACATATTAAATGGGGCTGAATTTGATTTGATTTTAAAGCCCAAAAGATACCAACCATCCGGCCCAACAATTCTCCACCCAAGCTCAGCTTTAGCGAACCCGGGTTTGGCCCATGGAGCCCATGACCGACCTCTCCAGCGCCCGGTGCGACCCGGTCGCGAGGGTTGTAGGACAGCCGATCTTTTTGGCAAGTACGACCTTGTTTCTCGCCACTCTTTTTGCAAAATTCTTATAACATCTTTTCCAACTCCAAAAACAAGACTCACTCAAAAGTACATATTATTTATAGAGATATTTGTGTTTAAAGTTTTGTTTTTTTTACCGAAACATTGTTTTTCTCGTTTTCTGATAATCTGACAGCCTTTCGGCTCTGATTTTGATCCGAGAAAACTTCCAGAGATTTTAACATACACTAAACAACATTATTGAATCTCTTTCTTGAGTGTGAGTAGGATTTCATACTTTATTTTACCGAAAACGACTCCGAAATGAAATGCCAACATTCAGCGAAAACTTCTCCCAATTCCGCCCCAAACCTCGAACCATTTGAGAGGTTTTCGCTGAAGTCAGGCCCGTTCATAACATTTTATGGGTCATAGGCGAGCAATAGAAAATGGGTCCTCCATATGAACGGAGTCACGCAAAATCTCAAACCAATGTTTTCTTTATCATCAAAAGTAAAATTCAATACAATAAAAAATGATACTTCATGCAATACAACTCTTCGAGTGGAGGACGAGGAGTATAAAAAAACAATCTATGACAAAAACACTAAAAAAACATATACCATATACGCACTAGCCAAATTGTTGACAAAATCATTGACCATTTTGGCATTATGACAAAACCATTGATCTGTACTTATATGTGGATTTCTTAATATTATGGACTTATTTTTCTAGTAGTTGTAAACGGCACAAACAGAGTAGCCAAACACACAAATTGAAGATAAATTAGCAAAAACGTCAAATTAAAAATTAATATTCAAGCAAAAGCTTACCTTCTGGACAAAAATCTCGATTTCGATTTCTTGATTTCTTGTAGTGAAGTGCAATTGAACAAGGAATTAGTTGTTGAAAACACAATATCAAATCAGAAATTTAAAACCAAGAAGTGATATTTGAGAATTCAGATGTTGGAGATTGGAGAAAAGTTAGGTCAATCCGTCAATCTTGAATCGAACTCGAAATATATAAAGAATCATAAATTAAAGGTTATTGTTGTAAGAAAATCCATGAGATTTTCCATCATGACTGAAGACTATTGCCGGAAATTGGAAGGTCGGCATTAGCTTGAGTAGATTTCTCGGATACGTGTGATGCAAAGTAGAAAGAAGAAAGATGAAGCGATTTTCTTGGTTTCTCCATTGTCACGTCTCCAATCTGATTAGTTAGAACTTTAATTAAGTTTGGGATTGGGCCCACATGCTTTTGGTCTTACAAAGGTTGGGCTTAATTTTATAACATTGAACATTTTTATAACATATAATACATAACTAATATTTTTTGGGGGCCCCAACCAAGCCCAACCCGCGCTTCTAGCAAGCGTTACTTTGGTTTGACAATGGGAGGGATGAAGGGGAATAAACCGACCGGAAGTGAGGATGCATTTGTATTACCATATGCTTTGATCTACTTCTTGTTCTTGTTATGGGTACCTGATGTAATAAAATTGATCCATAAAATTTTACAATCAAAAAATCATTTTTCAGACAAAGATAAAGACTGTGGGTAAAATAGTCAATTCTGACATTCAGATTGTTTATTCATCACAACAGCCGAACAATAACTTATCTGTTAATATACAGACAACTATATCATTTTTTTATTAACCTGGATATCCAACCCGCTATGCGAGCCGACTAATTCCAGGGCGACCACTTGCTTTGCAGATAGCCCGAAGTCACCGCATTTGAACCTCCATAGCAAAAAGAAGATTTTTATTCTTCGTTGGATTTGAACCTGAGACCTCCTGATACTTTTATCATTACAGACAACTAATATCTATATATATCTTAACAGAAAACGAACCTTGATCTATGGTTTGATAAATCAAAATTTGAGTTGGTTTAACCTTAAGGTAGCGTTTGGTACGCACACTGGACAGGACGGGACGGGACAGGACTAATTGTCTGTTCCATGTTTGGTACAACTAGGACAGGACAGGACAAAACTGTTAAAATGACCATATTACCCTTAAATGGTAATAACGATCAAAACCCAAACAAGCATAGAAGCATTTAAAATCACACTACAACAACCCAAACAAGCATGGAAGCATTGAGTCGAATTTAATGTACGACATCAATTTGAAGTGTGTTAGAAATCAATCATCTAGGTCCAAGAAATCAAACCAGCTGCATCAATGTACCAAAACCATTGTATTGCACAAGTTTATCTACCAGAGGGGATTTTGTTAGGGTTTACCAGCAAAATAATTGATGCGGACAGCAAAAAGAAATTGATGCGAAAGGAGWAATCATACCGGTGGAAGGAGGCGGTGGAGCCRGTGGAAGGAGGCGGTGGAGCCGGTGGACAGGACGGCGTGGAAGGAGAAAATGGAAGGATGCGAGCAGGTCGTGAACTGGTGTGGTGAAAGAGATGAGGGCAAAGAGGGTTAGGTTTTCTATTGGGTTTAAGGGTAAAGTAGTAATTTTGCATCTTGTCCCATGTTGTTCCACCTTTTTTGGTGGAACAAAAGTCCCATCAGATTTAAAAATAGTTCCACCTTGTCCCATGTAATTTTTGTTCATGGCATGCCAAACGTACCCTAAAGTAATGCATGAGTGTATACGGTATCTGAATCTCACGTGACATATGTTTTAAAAGCATGTAAACTTAAGATGTGAAATTACCAAATTGCCTTTAGTTGACTTACACGTGGTCCACTTAGTACATGACGAACCAAGACGAAAACCATAATAAAAGTAAAACTTTACCATGGAACCTTGTAATTTGTAAATGTCAGGGATAAAAGAGTCATTATTTTCGTATTTTAGTCTTTATTGTTTATGATACGTTTCAAAGGAAATAAATCATCAGACACCGCCCCTCACTTGTATCAACTGAATCCATAATTTCCATGACCAAAATAGTCATTTCCATAACCTAACCCAACTCAACCCATGCTTTTTTCAAAGTCAAAGTAAACCCCACGTCAACGCACCCCTATCTTACGCCTCCCTAACCCTATAAAAACCAACCCCATCCACCATCTCTAACAAACCAACCACAACCCTTCATCTTTAATTTCTTACTAAATCCTAGCCCTTCATCTTTAATTTCTTACTAAATCCTAGCCCTTCATCTTCCATTTCTTACTAAATCCTAGCCCTTTAGCCCTTCATCTTCCATTTCTTACTAAATCCTAGCCCTTCATCGTCCATTTCTTACTAAATCCTAGCCCTTCATTTCCAAAAAATGTCTTCGTCAACTGAATCCAAAATTGCCATGGCCAAAACCGTCGTTTCCACCATCGGTTCTGTTGCCGCCGCCGCCATGGTCGCTCGCAGCGTCGCCCGGGATTACATGCCCCCGGAGTTCCAAGACTACCTCTATTTCGGATTCCGCAATTTCATCAACAAGTTCTCCACACAGCTGACCATGGTAATCTACGAATCTGACGGATTTCGTGACAACGAAATTTACAACGCCACACAACTCTACCTTGCCGCCCGGATCTCGGCCGAGATTCACCGTCTGAAGGTGACCAAAAATCCTAGCGAGAAAAACATCAGAGTCGCCATGGAATCCAACGAGGAGTTTACCGACATTTACAATGGAGTCAAGTTCAAGTGGTCTTTCCTTTCCAAGAAGACACCGACGAGAGAATATTACAATGACGACGACTCGAGCGGATCTTCCCGATCCGATCAACGAACATTGGAACTCACATTTCATCGGAAACACAAAGATCTGGCATTGAACGACTACCTGCCGTTTATAATTAATGACACAACAACTAGGAAACAAGAAGAGAAAACCGTAAAGCTATTCACGGTGAATACGAAGAACATGTATTCAGGTCGCCCAACGGCGTGGACTTCGGTGAATCTAGACCATCCGGCGAACTTTTCGACGCTAGCAATGGATCCCGATGTGAAGGAGAAGATGATGAAAGATTTGGATAGGTTTGCGGCGAGGAGAGAGTATTATCGGAAAGTCGGAAAGGCATGGAAGAGAGGCTACCTGTTGTACGGTCCGCCGGGGACCGGAAAGTCAAGCTTGATCGCGGCCATGGCGAATTACTTGAAGTTTGACATATATGACTTGGAGTTGACTGCTATTAAGTCAAACTCGGAGCTGCGGAATTTGCTGGTGTCGACGGCTAACCGTTCAATATTGGTTGTGGAGGACATTGATTGTTCAGTGGAGTTGCATGATCGGGTGGCGGTAGCGGCGGCGAAAGCTTTAGCTCGGGAAAATCACCGCCGAGGTTACACGGAAGAACAGAGGGTAAGTAATTCCAATTTTTTATTTTTAATATATTATTTTAAAAAATCCAAAAAAACACAATAACTTTCTCATCTTAAATGATTTGATTTATAATCTATTTTTTTAAAAATAATATTAAACTTTCTCTTTTTTATTAAGTCTTTTAAATATTTTTTTAATAAAAAAAATCATTAAACTTTTTCTTATGTAAATAATTAAAACTCTGATTTTTTTGAAAAATAGATTAATCATTAAAGTTTTACCAGTGGATTAATGTGTTTTTTTATATTAAACGGATCTATAAAATATTTAGAAAAATACCACTGGGATTCTGTAGCTTGTTGATTAATCAATTAATATCTTATTTATTTATTATTCATAATGTTAATATAAAATCAAATGTCAAATAATAATTATTTTTTTCAGGTAACCTTGTCGGGTTTTCTTAACTTTATTGACGGATTATGGTCGAGTTGTGGTGACGAAAGGATCATCATATTCACAACAAACAGGAAAGACAAACTTGATCCAGCGCTTCTTCGTCCGGGCCGTATGGATGTTCACATCCACATGTCGTATTGCACCTCAAGCGGGTTCCGGGTCCTAGCGTCCAACTATCTTAACATCACCCAACATGATCTGTTTGAGAAAATCGAGGATTTGATCCGGGAGGTTGAGATTACACCAGCTGAAGTGGCGGAGCAACTGTTAAAGGATGACGATCCTGACATTGCTCTCGGTGGACTCGTAGGGTTTTTCGATGTGAAGAGAAAGGAGAACGAAGAGGCAAAAGCAAGGGCAATGGAAGAAGAACAATTGGTCGCAAAAGAGAAAGAAGAGTTGGACTCCAAACAAAACAAAGAAAAGCAGCAAGACAATGGCAACTTATTAATTGATTAAGAAATTTGGGTATTAATAATTTATTAAAAAAAAAAAAATTTGCACAACCACTTCGAATTCGAATCATAAGTACGAAAATAAAGACTAGATGCTATTTGCAGTTGCTGAATCATTAAGAGATTTTCATGATATAGTGTAAAATGACGTATAATTATTTGGTAATTGTTTACAATGAAATTATAGCGTTGAATGGTTGAGAGAGAGACACAATACAAAATAATTCAGAGATTTTTAGAACAATTAAGAAACAATTTTTTTTTACCAACCAAGATTCATCTTTCAATGATTCAAATTTTGTCTCTAGATGAAAATATTAAAAGACAAACAAACAATCCCTAATTCTTTTAGATTTAATATTATAGCTCTGTTATATAAAACTAAACAAAAAGTTGTATGAACCTTATTAATTTGATTGTTTGGATAAAAATTTCGTATCCTCAACCGACAAAGATAATATCCATGATAGTCGTATCCCTGACCGACGAGAATAATATCCACGATAGTCATATCTCCGTCTGACGAGAATAGTATGTACGACAATCATATTAATAACCAGACAAATTGGTTATCTAAAGACATCTTGTGTCAACAATCATTTGAGATGGCGCCTTAACATCTCATAATTGCATGTTACGTGTCGCCTGTATCTCGTCTTTATTCTAAAACTTGACTCTTGGTAATGTTAATGAAAACAACTCAAGAAGGTGATTGTTTTATTTAAAATCCTCATTAATGGAGCGATTACCCAATATTTAATTGATGACAGTCAATATTCACAAATATTTTTAATTATCATGGATGTAATTCCCGATATCATAATTATTATGGATGTAACTTTTGGTATCGTTATTACATGGATGTAACTCTCGATATCATTATTGTTATGATTGTAACTCCTACAAATATCCGGGTATAAACACGACTAGGATATGCTCCACTATGATATCCTCGACTAATATATCATCATGACCATGATATTCTCGACTTACAATTAACCATGACAATTGTGTTTATTGGATAACAGCAACAAATGATAGTTTTAATTAACCTCAACAAGTATATTTCTCACTTGTTGCAGGTCCCACATATAACTGAAGTTATGACCAAAAATTTGTTTTATCAACACAACAAATGTAACTGGCGACCAATTTGTATCATCAAGACACGCCCGTAACAATCATTATGATCAATAATCGACAATTATAAATGCTCAACTATAAATCGGGAGATCAATACATTCAAAGAGGCCCCGAATCAGATTCTACTCTCATTTGCTCTCGGAAGAATTCATGGGATACTGGAATTTACATTCATTACGCACGATTACTTATACTTAAATTCATTATCAATGTCTTGTAATGGTAATTGTTATTATTAACAATTGCCATCCCTAATTAACATCCATAATGCATTGACGACATCACCAATGTCCACATTTTTTACCCTCGATGGGGTTCTCACGCCACCAAATTCAACTGTCATATTTACATTTTCTTCGGTATTTGTTTTATTTATTTCGAAAATTCAATCTAGAGTTGATAAGGCCCGCAATCCAACATTTGATCGTTTTTGTGCAATTTTTGGCATACACACTTATTCAGATTGGTAATCGACGACACAAATCTATCTGAAAGAGAGTTCAGTTAAATGAGATATTAAATATTTGCAATGTCTTTCTTAAAATGGTAAAAGAATTGAAAAACACAACATGACATAATGCACCCGATCTTATTGAGTGCAAAAGGAAATCGTTCATCCCACATGATGATTCTCAACCTTGGATCTAGGGTGTGTTGGTGCATGAAAACCTGACGAAACTGTCGATCTAGTCTATCCAACTCGATATAACTTAACGCGAAACTACTTGGTATCTAATCGAATATAAAATTTTCTAAATATAGATATTGAATTGGAACTGGGTTATGATGATTTGAACCCAACCCGATGAACCATATACCTTTATTATATGGTATATGCATTTTCAGCTAGACACTTTAGCATTGCTTTTTATATACATATGATCGTGACAAACTACTGGTTCTTTTCATGATTGTGTCACATTTTTTCCTGTTACTTTGATTTCTATTTCAACATTCTTCTCGTTCTTCCTATATCATAAAATGCCATTTAATTGAGAGTAGTAACTAATCATTGTTTAAACATGTTGTAATGTTGCTACTATATCACAACCTGTACCAACCCAACTCGCATAAGTTGTGTACGGTTGAGTTGTTTTTTCTTAATGGGTTAAAAAATTTCAAACCCTAATAATTAGATTGAATTGTTTAAATATCTTTTACCAGTTATTTTTTTTAATATCTTTTAATGGATTAAAAAATTTTCAAACCCTATTAACTAAATTGAATTGTTTAAATATCTTTTACCAACTCAATTCATGTGTAGTCTTTAGGGTCGTTTTTGGGAGAGGGTGGGCCGGACGTATGCCCAGGACCCACAAGAAATAGGGGTCCAAATATTTTAGAATATAGTATTATTGTAGTAGTAGAAAAAAATAGTAAATAAAATAAACAATTTTATAATATCTAATAGGACCAAAAACGAATTTCGTATTATATTAAGGGTCCAAACATGTATTAATTAATTATACTGAAAAATAAAATATGTAAAAACTAAAAAGTTAATTGATCATTCATTTTTATAGTATTGTTTATTGTCTCTCTACTTATTTTTTATTTTATACTACTTGCCTATAAAATCTTGATATTTCTTCATCATTCATTTCTCAATAACTCTTTTGATTATTTCATACGTATGATTTCTATTCTTGTATTAGAATATATTAGATTTTTTGTTATTAACTAAGAAAATCCTACCTTTTATTTTAATAAGAATAAACTCTCAAGTTATAACCAACATTGACTTTTTATTCTAAGATTGATGGTTCTGAAAAAGTTTCCTTAAGCCTAAAAATATAAAAAGTTAATAAAAGACATAACACGATGTAAGATGGTGAAATCAACTGATTTATTTTGATTTACATAGAGTGTCACTTTAAATAGTCCAAAATGATATCAGTTATACTTTAAAGATATATCATAAGATGTTTTTGATTGTAGAACGGATTGATAATGCTATGTAAAAATGATAAGGAATATAATGTTTATTTAGTAATAGTTATCGATTGATTTTGTGTTTAAGTATACTTAGAAAAACGTTTTTATAATGTATTATTAATATTTTTTTTTATTTTTAATCTTATTTTTCTAATAATAAAAATAATATATTGAAGATTTTTTTTTTCACATAACAAGGGCATTTTTTTCATCTCACTCCGTAACCTATAAAATGTCTGAAACAAATTATATTAAGATTTTATAAATGGTTGAACTTCAAATTTTTAGAAATATAAGAAGATTTATTTTTTAAGGAAAAAATCTAATGAGCCGACACTTTGGACTTTAGAGCGGCTGATGAAGCTTCCATTGTTACTTCTAACGTATGATGAGCCGACACCTGGATCAGCTGAGGTATGATACTTTTTAACGTATGACGTTATAATTTTGATTAAACAAATATTGAGAAAGATTTGATTTTTACATTGGTAAAAATGAATTTATAATGACGGTTTATTTAGGGGTTCATTAAACTTTCATCGTGTGATTTATATTACTAGGTGATGAGGGTAAGATCGAAAATCTTATCTGATAAAAGACATGATAACAACCGACGTTCTTATCTGGTAATTAGGGGAGAAAACTCTAACCTGGTTCGCGGTTACCGAGTAAGAGACGATTACAAAAAATTTATTTTTATGGCCGAAAATGTTATCAACATGGCAAATAAAGGCGGTGACTCTTGTCAGTAAGCGTTTATAAGGTAAGTATTTGATAAACGGTCCATTTACCAAACGGTTACCACATAAGCACTATCAGATCATTTACCTTACTACGTGAGCATAGCAAAAACCGAGAATTTTTACCCCGTAAGAGGAATGACAACGACTGAAGTACTTACACTGGGGAGAAGACTCTTACTCGGTTGGCGCTTATCGGATAGAAGCCGCTTTAAAACAATTCATTTTAATCTCGAAAATGTTACCCCACGTGGAAAATGAGGAGGTAACTCTTGCGAATAAACACTTACCTGGTAATCATTTGATAAATGACTCTTAGTATATAATATGCGAGTTTAATTAAATTATCCTATAATATATTGTGTTGAATAGATCTTTATTTAAATTAAAAAGCTACTTATCAAAAGCTTACCTTGATAAGTGCTTACCGGCAAAACGATAAGTCGTCGGGTAAGTTTTTTAGTCCATCAAAACGGTATTGTATGCAACAATTTACTTGGTAAGTGTTAACTGTGGTAAAGCCGTCGCCATTGCTTACCACGGTAAGACTCTCGGTCCTTGCCTTCGTTCTTACCAGGTAAAATTAGTGGTCCTTGCCATATACATCCGATAAGATAACGTGAATTGGTAAATGTTACCCGAATAAACGTTTGGTAAACGACCTATAAATGTTTATAACGTAAAATTCGGATCCCATAAACTTGTTTGACTAGAGTTTTTTTTTTATATAATGACCACCAAGAAAATAACCAAAAAACTAAAGGGCATTTGACCTAGTAGTATGTGAGTCTTTGGCCTTCGAGGATGTCAAATGTTCAAACCTCACCAAAGATGAGAACAGTATGTGAGTTTATTTAATCTATTTACTGTATGTAATTATTATATTCTAAAAATAATAATAATAACCAACAGTTCAGCATACGTCAACCTCAAAATAATGTTATCCGCTTATCATTTTCTCAATTACATGTAAACCATATGGAGACATTACCAGTCAGTATCAATTTTTTTATATAGGGTGTACTTGGTATATTTAATATGATAGAACAGAATAAAGATTATTGTATTACTGATAGGACTTTTATATAGAGTAAAGTAGAACAAACGTGTTTTACCCCCATCCCGTCCCCATGGAACAAGTTGGAAGAAGATGGAACAAACTTATGTTTTATCAATATAATCTCAAAATAAAACTTAATTCTCTTCTAAAACATCAAATACACCGTATTCTAT